TCACAAAATGAAAAGAAGGCAAATTTTTTAGAAGTTTTTTATCCAAATTTAAATCATGTACTGCTATAAATCGTCTCGAGTCTCCTCGCCCTATTGTGAACCATATCTTTTTAGTTCAAAATTACTTAAAATGAATTAATAAGACTAGAACATCTGTATCGTTGCAATCAATAATGCAGCGTAAATTCCCCGAATTTCTGGCTGATAATATGTGCAATAAGATACGAGTATCAGATTCTTCATGATTTAAATTTAAGAAATCGTCTTTTGATGGTTCAAAATTTATCCCATATTTATTGATACTCGCGAATCCATCACTAGATACAAATTTTCTCAAGAAATTGCTCTGACAGAAAATGTGTTAAACGTCTTTTAATTAATATCGAATGAATGAACAAGTTTCATTATTCTGGAAGTGGAATATTGGGTCTGTCAATTTCTATATCAATTGATTTCTGGGATCATCTCTTTTGACGTGTTGTATTTTTGATAGAATTTTCTTTATTATGTTTAAATACCACATCTATCCTTTGAGCATTAAATTTATTTTTAAAAATAATCTTTACAAATATATTAGCATATTTTTTAAATGATGCAACTTTTGGACTTTCCGAAACCTTCAGCTATTGCTATCCCATCAAAAATGTGACAAGTTTTGTAAGATCACCTAGGTGCAAGTAAGTCTTTGTGGATCATATTGCTCTAAAATATTTCTCAATAAACTCTTATTTGTAGAGGTGCCGAGATACCCATTTACTGTTAGAGACATGGGAGAGGCTGTCAGATCAAACTTAAATATTTCGGCATAATTACCTAATGCTTCTGTCCATATCCTTTGCTAATAAAATATTGTGAAGAAACTGTTGACCATGCAAGGATTAAGAAGTCATATTTTGATATCATTTGTGTCTTTGCTTCTTGCAACAACAAATCCGTAATTAAAATGTTTAACGAAAACTTACCCAACTTACCCAAATATATTCAGGCATTCAGCTATAACAGAATGAATGTAGATGTAATAAAAACCTAAAAAATGTCTATATTTCTTCCCAATTTATTAGGAACTTTAATATGTAACACGCTTATTATTTTTTTAGTAAAAACAGAAAATATGACACTGTCCATTGGCACCTAACGAGAAGTTTTATAATAAAAAAATGAAAAAAATCTTAGCATATCAATAATGTGATGCATCAGCCGACACGTAGAGAGAAACAGAGCTATACTACGTTTTTCATTAGGGCCTTCCTTTTTGTTAAATAATGATAAAATTATATTTAAAAAAATGACGTTTTAAACAAATTTTTGAAGGGCTGAAATTTTTTTTAAATAAGTGTAAAAAATTACTCCTTACAAAGATTTTATTGTGCATTGGACCAAAAAATAAATATTTGTTTTCTATTCGGCGGTATCAATATCTGGAATTTTGATGATAGTGCCCTTCTGTACAGTCTAATTTTGTATTACCTCCGGAATAAGGGTTACCTTATCATGACCTTTTATCTCTGAAAAATTCAGCTTGTGACAAGGGAGGTAAGTCATTTTCTAGAGCGAATATTTTAATACATACACTCTACTAATAATAATTGATTAAGAGTAGAAAAGCGTCCATAGTTTAGCAATACATTCCCTTCTATATCACATAATAATATGTCCTCGATACAAAGAGTCAAAGTAACAAAAACAGGAGGCCAATGTTAACAAACAATAAACGGTCTCATGACATTTTATATTTTTAAATAAACTAGGTTTTTAAAAAATATTTTCTAGACCTGTTATTTTTTATATTCAAGCGGATTTATAATATTTAAACTTATTTTTATTGTTTGAATAATCTGTTATAATGAGGTACAGCTTCTAGAACAAATTCATAAAAAACCCGTACTATTAAACTCACCATTTATTTGGCATTCTGTCCCGTACTTCCATGTCTCTATTAGCTCTGCTGTCAACTAGTTCTGGTAAGGCATATTGCATATAATAATTTTGAATTTTATTTTGCACCTTTTCTTCCCAAAAGCTGTCATTATGAGGAATTTCCTCCACTTTTATTTCTCGAGGAGTCCAAACGCACAAAATGCAAAAATTCATTTGTTTAATGTGCAGCTAGTCCTGAATTTAAAAGTACCGATTGTGGTTCCCCTTAATGGTATTATCCTTTTTCCAGAAAGTTATTTTTTTACTGCATATTCTTTTTTCTTTAGTCAGCACTCTAGCTTTATATGGACATTTTAACTCTATCATAGAGTTTTTTGTTTTAAATTCCATCTGGACTGGCAGCAACATAATCAAATTCGGAATCAATAAAAGTCCACATATAAAAACTTTTTCTTGCAAATAAATTTCCGAATCTTATTTTGCTCTGGATTTATTGTCCATGTCATATTAAAAGGCTTTAGCAAAAAATAAAAGATTTTATGAGATTGTTCAAAAAATGCCTTTCCTTTTTTTACAAATGTCTCCAAATTTTGAAACAGTGACTCGTTTTCGTCTTTCATTTTGCTACAATCCACAATCAGCTTGATCTCTTGTCACATTCATTTTTTTCTTATCAAGCATTATCAAACTTTTTAGAAAATCTTCTTTTGCAACGCGCATCAAAGATTGTGAGAGATCAAAGACACGCACGAAAGCAAAAAAAAATTATTTACTAAGTTCGAAAAAATATACATTACTTTAACAGCTTAAATAGTTGTTAACATGCTGGAATTCATTATTCTTAACTCGAGATGTATTCATTAAAAAAAAAAAACTCCAGTGCAATATAAAAGTTAATTTATAATTCAAATATCAATGTATACCTTTTAATTTCGGATATATTTTTTTAATAAAATTAATTTAAAATAATTAAGCGAAATTACTGTATGTAAAAATAACAAAGTGTACAGACATAAAACAAAATAAATTTAAATCACTTGCGTACGTTTATCACTTGTAAACATTAGAAAAGGATATACAATTTGTTGGTGTCGCCCTCTAGACGAAAAAGCTTTTAACCTATTTTTTAAATTTTTATTGAGAAAAATAAATGTTCCTATAAAAATTAAAAATATATACCTATTGTTTTTTTTTTTTCGATAGAAAGATATTTTCTTACATTTCTCAAAATAAACCGATTCAAATGTTCAAAAAGTGACTCCTTCACCTGTACTTACATAATTTTTTTAAAAAATAAAAAATAATCCGTTAAATTGGTGTACTATGAAACCCATTGCATATTATATAAATATGTCTATATTAGTATTACAGAAATGATTTACGTAAAACAATAAGGTGTACCTACAAATACGTAAACTTTAATTATCCCTCGTAAAACATCAGTAAAATATTTTGTAAATTGTTTTCATTCACAAATATTAATTTCTTAAAAATCTAACAGAGGCGCCACTTGCCAGACGAAAAATCTTGCAATGTAAGGGTTTCGTAGTACCCCACTTTTAAAGTTTATTTTTGAGTATTTTTAAAAGAAAAAATATATACGTGTAGATAAAGGTTAAATCTATGCTCCTCTGGAACCACTTTTTTAAAATTCAATTTAGTTTTTTCTAAAAAAAAATTGAGAAAATGGATGAAAAAAGTCGAGTTTTGTGTTTTTTTTTTAGAAAAAAACAGATTGAAATTTTGAAAAAGTGTTTCCAGAGGAGCACAGATTTAACCTTTACCTACACGCACATATTTTTTTCTTTCAAAATATGTCAAAAATAAACTTTAAAAGTGGGGTACTACGAAACCCTTGCATGCTCTGCTCTAAAGCCAAGTAAATACTCCTCTTAAAAGTCAATTATATTTTTTAAATTATTTTATTCGAGTGTTTATTCATTGTAAGGAAAAATATTTAAAGTTCAAATAAATGTCGATATTATCCGAATAACATACAGGATGATGAAGTAATGCAGATGCTCATATCTGAAATTGAGTTTAGGATCAAAAAGTTAAGGGCGCAAATATTATTTTTATCCCAAATATCTTTTCACAGGTGAGCTTAAGGGGCAAATGGCCCAAATATTTGTACATGAACAGATGATGATGGCACAAATATTTGTACATGAACAGATAAGTGATAAGAGGAGAAATATTTTTACATAGACAGGCTTGAAGTATCAATGGGTCAAATATTATTACATGCTCAGTTAAGGAGTAGAAAGTAAATTAATGGCATTTATGCTTAAATTGTTGGCGAAAAGTATTTTTGGACATGTCTGACGGACATGTCCAATATTATAACAAGGTGATCTACCAACCGTTCAAGAGGGGATTTTCTTATAAAATGTTGCAAATTGGGCCCTCTTTATTTAAACTGGTTCTCCTGTAATAATACGTCAAGTTAAATTATTTTTATTTGTTTTTACGTAAACTGTTGAATATATGAAAAAATTACAAAAGTAAAAAAAGTTTTTAAATTACGTGTACTATCAAAAATTTTATTAGTATAATTGACTTTTAAAGAAACATGAACTGAAAGAAGAAACGCTATCACAAAATTGGGTTCGACTGAAGGATAACTTGTACCCTAATTACAATTTCTAAGTTTAACTGTTTTGGCACCAAAATTGCAAAATTTTGAAAAAAAAACTCTTAAATGGTTGGTAGTACACGCTGATAAATTATTAGGTTCATTCCAACACGCGCGAATATCGTAATATTACGGTACAAATCATGCGCTTTACAAAAAAATTGTATACAGCGCATGATTTGTACCGTAATACTATCGTTTTCGCGTGTGTTGGAACAGACCTATTGGAACATCATTACAGAATGCCCTGTACAATTACCTCTTTCCCAGAAACTGCTGCTCAATATATCCTGAGCATAGAAGCCACACAGTTAAATATTTGTCCATCCTGGATGCATTTTCTAAAACACTTGAAGAATAATATTTGTATTTTCGTTTTTTAGGCAAATCAATTTGTGAAAGACTTTTTAAAATTTTTCTCACGTGTTCATATTTATAAAACTTGTTGAAAATCTTTAAGGGTACTTAAAATTCGATTTTTTTATAGGTGGAACTTAATGAAGAAGAAACAATACTTATTATTCGTCGTTTGCACAAAGTATTACGTCCTTTCCTCTTGAGGCGTCTCAAGAAAGAAGTTGAATCCCAATTGCCTGACAAAGTTGAGTACATTATTAAGTGTGATATGTCTGGCCTACAGAAAGTTCTTTACCAACACATGCAGAGTAAAGGAGTTTTGCTTACCGATGGTTCTGAGAAGGGTTCCAGAGGAGGAAGAGGTGCTAAAGCCATTATGAATACCATTATGCAGTTGAGGAAGCTTTGCAATCATCCTTTTATGTTTCAAAATATCGAGGAAAAGTTTTGCGATTTCGTTGGTATTGCAGGTGGAATTATGTCTGGACCAGATATTTATAGGTTAGTTTAATTACAGCATTCATTATACCTATATTTGGGAAATGAGAAAAATTCAGCAAAATCTATAGTTTTACCGTTGTATGAAAATATTATAGTATGATAATTTTATGGACACTTTATTTGATTGCGATGGAGATGACATGTAGATGGCACCACTCCCTGGTGTCCAAGTCAGGTCTTTGGGTCATGTCGGTGCTTGAGTGTGAATTATAATTTAAAACTTCTTTTTCATTTCTACGTGTCTTTCGTAATGTATTTTTTAGTTACAATTGCAAATATTTCAAATGTTACAGGTAAAGGGTATTTGAAGGTCACTAAAATTTGTTAACAGGGAAATAATAAACGCAATAAACCAGTTTTTGTTTTGGGAAAGATGATTGAGTTGAGTGGAATTTTCCTATAATAGGTAACATTACCTTAGTATAGGTATCAATCAGTATTGGCACTCTCAGGCGGCACGTTTGATCTTTAAAAGTACAAATTTTAGTTGACACTTGATGTTTTCAGAATATGAAAAGTTTCCTTTACACGGACTTGGTTGCACCTGGTTAGTTGAATTATTATTCTGCAGCTTTTCAAATTCGTGTGTATGAGTGAGATGTGTGATACCTTCATGCAGACAACGGTTGAACAACTTAACTACTTTGAAGAAGAAAATCGATTAGATATCAGGGCAGTCTTTGCAAATATAAAAAGGACAGAACCGTTTTTAAATTTTTTTTATATATGTGATTGAGTGAAAAGTTTAATTACTTTTAGTTCAAAATATAACGTTAGTTTGTCAAGGAAAATATTTTTAAAATCCACAAGGTTAGACTAACAAAATAGTGGTTTTCTTAAGAATTACTCGTAATCTAAAATATTCTGGTCTGTTGTAAAATTTGGTAGAACAGTGTGTATAGGTACTTATAACGGAGACACATATATTCGCACTCAAAGATTTTGCAACTAGTAATTTTGTTAAAGGTTGTAATTAAGATTTACTTTAAAAACAAACAAAAAAATTAATTATAGTTAAAATTATTGTTTGGGCAGTTGCGTAACATAAAGTTACTAACCCATGCCGTACGCCACTGGTAAAATTTAATTAACATATTTTTTGCTGTTAGGTTATCTCATGACATGACACCAAACTCGTTTGCACATTTTATTAAAATTTTATTAAAATAAAAAATTTTAAGCCATTAATAATATTTCAGTTTTCAATAATGACTAAATATACAGGGTGATGAGTTTGAAAAACCAAAGTGACTAATACTTTAAGAAAAACGGCAAATCTGTCAATATTGCAAATATCAAATCTGGAATCACCGTATCCCAAAATAGGTGGACCCCAAATTTTGTACAATTAGGACTAGCAATTTACGAGATAATTGGCCGTTTCCAGACTTTTGGGCCACTCCGTATATCTTCATACAACGGTTTTACTTATTCGCTCCGTGCGAAGTCATGGAAAGGGAAGCAAAAGCGATACTAGCGCTAGCTGCGGATAATTCGTGCATTTTAGGGCGATATTTTGTAATTTTGGCATATCAAATACACGTATACATTTTACTTTTTTTCAAAAAAGTAAGTGAAAAGAATACAATAAGTAACCGGAGTTGCTGTGTTGAAAATTGTACAAATACTAGCAAAAAAAAAACAGTGAAATATATAAAAAATTTCAGTAGCAAAGTGGAAATTAAATCAAAGAAATAAATGGATAGGTGTACAATAAGAAGAAAAATTACCTTTATTTTTGTAATAACAGTAATGCTGGAAATAGTAGACATCAGAAACTTGAAAGGTTTTAAATAAACAATAAATTATCATTTTACGATGTTCTTTAATATCCCTTTATTCTTAAATGTTCATTCAGCAAGGACTAGATTTCAACATTTCTGCCTTTGATTATTATATGTGGCTGGAATACAATTTTGTAACTTACTGATGGGAAACCAGATTTAATTATTCATTCTATGTTTTCTTTCCAACAAAAATGAAAATATAAATAACGATCCTTTTTTTATACATTTTAACTTCACGCTATTATTAAATGGTATTTTTTTATTTTGACAGAATAATTCTTCAATGACAACTTACTAGACTTAGGCAACTTCTCATACATTTTCCAGTAAATACTGTTGCCTGCCTATATTTTATTATTCATTTTTATTGATTATACATAATTTTCTTTAATTTAAGAGATAAAAATATGTAATAATAATAAATTAATGTTTTACTTGTTTTACAAATCCATATACTTTTATTAAAACTAACATATATACTTTTTAATTACGAATTCTATTAAAAATTGCATTTGTCAGTATACGCAGAAATAGTCCATTAATACCAAAACGAATTGGCGCTGCTGTCGCGCACGGAGCGAATATGTTGTTTTAATGTTTTTCATTTATTTATTGAAATGTCTTGTGTAAACATTCTAGAGCCTCTATTATTTATTCAGTTTTAAATAAATTATTTGGCGTCCTTACAAGAATTTATTATAGTTTTTTGCTGATAATTATTATTGAAAGCAGATATGAACTAATAAATAGTATAATACATTAGGAATGTGGAAAGTGACATTTTTCACATGAGTGGAAAGTATTGTCGCACGAGGCATAAGACGAGTGTGAAAAATAACTTTTACACAAGAAGTGATGTACAATATTTTTCTTACGACCACAAAATAATTTTATCAAAAAAATTTCAATTCAGGAAATTGGTGTGGTTGGTTTTAGATGTTTTTTTTTATATGCCTCATTGAATAATTATATATTTTATGGATGGTGTTTTGTCAAAATTAAAAACATTGTGATTCCATCTGAAGAACACTTTCAATGAATGATAAAGGAAAAATAACATTAGATACAAAAAAATATTAGAATATTTTTATTAGTTTATTTTTTTAAATCAACAAATAAGAACAACTGTGAACATGAACTTTTTTCTATTATTATAAAATAAATAGCGTAGAGATCAACTACAGGGGTTATATTATTTATCATAAATAAAATATATTTATTATAAATAAATAACAATAGTCGTATTTTTGCAATTTTCATATTTTTTCAAACTTACATCTACACCTACAGTTTGGCCTTAATATCAATATAAAATCTTTAAACCCAAACGTTTGCAAAGTTATAATCCCTACTAAGGATTATCTCTAAGCTTTGTTCTTTTTTAGCTCTCCTTTAGTTAAAGTAAGAGTCCTTCTTTGTGATATATACATGAAATTCCAAACTTTAAAATTATCAAAAGTGTATCGTGACGAAAAAAGATTGAGAATCACTGCATTAGAACAATCTAAAATATCGATTTAGAAAAAAAACTGACATAAAATCTCAAATACTTCTAATCATTAATCAATATTAAACTAAATCTGAGAAAGTATAAAGCATTAATTGTTTATTTAGGTCGTCTGGAAAATTTGAGCTCTTAGAGAGAGTTTTACCTAAATTTAAGGCTACAAATCATCGAGTACTTCTGTTTTGTCAAATGACAACTTTAATGAACATAATGGAGGACTATTTTATTTGGAGAGGCTACAAATACCTACGTCTTGACGGAATGGTTAAGTCCGAAGATAGAGCTGATCTTCTTAAACGATTTAACGACAAAGGCAGTGATTACTTTGTATTTCTACTATCTACGAGGGCTGGTGGTTTGGGTTTGAATTTACAGAGTGCAGACACCGTTATTATTTTTGATTCTGACTGGAATCCACATCAAGTAAGTATTAATTAGTATGTTAACAATAGACATGCCTTTTACTGCAAATATTTTGTTGCAGCTTTGCTTAATTGCTTCCATGTTTTTGAAAATTCATGACTTACTATCAATGTATCAAACATTTAAACCTGACAGACTATGGTAAATAGTTGAGCGTTGGGAACCAACCCGTGTATTCTAAATTACATTTTTTCTTGGAATTTGTACAAAATTAACATATTATTATTTGATAATATTATTGTAGCAGTTAATTTTTTTTCTCTCATCATTGCCACCATAAACAAAACACTTTTATAAGATTAAAAATACATTGAAATTTGTAAATTTGTGCATTTGGACTCATGGTAGATAAATTCTAAATCAAATAAAATATACCTATAATGTATTCAAAAATTTATAAACAATTATTATTAAACCTTTAAAGCTTTCTACAGTCTTAAATATGTATATTTGTTGCTAAAAAAATTAAATATATTTTGGTGCTTATTAATATTTTATCAGGCTTAATACATAAAGAAAAACACCATTAATCAGGTCGATTGTACCGACGAAGTGTTAGAATTAATTCTTAGAAACTTCTTTGTTATTGGTAACATTAAGATTTACAGAAATATGTAAGAGCTTACAATTATTAGCGTTTTTATTATTTTATTTCTACATCGTCCACTTCTACTTTATCATTCATATCTAAGATCAACAATAACTAGACTAGACAACAATAACTAGACTTCAACAAAGATGAAAAAGCATTACTTAAACTAATAAAAATAAATAATGTTGCAAAATTATTGGAGTTATAAATAAAATACAATTATATTTGTTCTTAATATATTATGTCATGTTCCATGAACATTAGTATAATAACATGTCAAATGATTGACCAATCATCTAATGGCCAGATCTTGAAGTTGGATATATGTTGATGTTAAAAAATACTTTATCTATCTCTTATAATGGTCAAACGGGTATCTCACCTTCTAAAGACCTCTGGTGGATTTTTTGGAACTACGTTGTTTGGTGCCATATCGTCTTGTTTTTATATGGAATTTGAGGGAAGTTGAAACACCTATAATAATTGTCATTCATCATGCCCTACGACCCCAGACAACACACCAAATCCCAGAGATATCCACAGAATATCTTTTGTGGATATCCAATATATCCACAGGATATCAGAAATATTCCGTGGATCTAATATGGATATCCAAATGTCCGTCTATATCCAGAATATCTAATGGGTATCTTCCAGACAATACAAGAAATCCCAGAGATATCCACAGAATATATTTTGTAGATATCCAGTATGGATATCCAACCAAATGTCCGTCTATATCCCAGGATATAGAAGAATTCGGATATTCAGCAAAATATTTTATGGGTATCTTTAGTAGAGGTTCATAAGTAATCAATGATTATTGAATAACATCGAAAGAAAATAGCAGAGATAAAAAATATTTTCAACACTCAAAATATTTTCAACACTCTGCCTTTGATTTTGCCCACTGAGAAAGTCATCCTTATTAGGACTCTTCAGCAATAAATGGAAATTATCGACTCCAGTCTCTAATGGAGTCTAATTGTGATAAAAAAAATCGATCGAACTCAATTACGGCGGGTTGAGCATGAGTAGATGCGAAAGTGGTATCGCCATCTATACTTAGTAAGCAAAATCAAAAATTACATCTAGTGGATATCCACGATGGTTAGCGTTCGCGCCTAGACTTTGGTTGTCCATGGGATATTGAATACACCTTAAAAAAATTAATTTTAAATATCTGAACGGTACTATTAGCCACAATGGCGAGCACAATGGCTTAATTTTTTAATAATTTGCTATATAATTACTATTATTTATGGACATTTGCATGTCTATAAATTACATCTCATGGTTATAAAATAGATATCCACCATGGACTGGACATTCAGTGGATATTGGGATGTTCAGTAGATATCCAAAGGATTTGGTGTGCTGTCTGGGACGTTTTTCTTTTCAATAGTAATAATAAAAATAAGGGACATGTGCAGTGTTGCCGATCTGATTTTTGACATTACCCACGGGAAATTAAAAAAAAAAACGTTTTTACCCGTTATCCTTAAAGGAGTACGTCAAAATTTTTCCCTTAAAATTTCTGGGCAGTTTTCAATGACGGTGTTCAATTATTTAAAAAAATTAAACGTAATGTCAAATTGTCAAATGTGAAATATTTCGAATTTTCGGTTTAAAAACTAAAAAAGAGGCATTTTATGTATTTTCATTTGGTAACTGGTGACATAATCAACTTTTCTTAATCAGTTTCATAATGTTCTACTTTATGCAACTGGTTGCACAAAGTAAATCGTTTTGACACTTGCTGCGATTACAAAATATGTCACTTAATATGTCAAAATTAGAAAAAATATATTATGGTAACATAACGAAGATTAAAATGACATTGTTAATGTAAAAATGTCATTTTAATCTTCGTTTATAAGTAATTTAAACTTTGTTTAACACAACGGTGGAATCGGCCTTAACGCATCCATAGACTGTAAACTTTTTTAATTTTTTTTATCTATAAACAAAAATATTTGTAGTTCTTTCTGGTCTGCACACAAATAAGCCTTGTTTTAAGAGAATATATACAATATATTTTGTAAATCCCGAAAGCCTGGGGTTTAGAATAATAATCACATCATGTACAGTATCGTCTAGCACACTATCGGAACTTTCTGATAAGCCAAGAGCTCTATAGGCTCTTGAAGATTTGTTGATTGTACGAACAGAACATTTTAAAATTCGTAGCTGTTGTGGAGGAATAAAATTCCACGAAAACTTTCACGTACTTCGACATGTACCTATTAATATTTTTTGTAAACTACAGACTTATTTTCAAACACAGGAGAACTCATTTCTCTTAAGATTCTCATGAAAAATGTCATACGTCAACGTGAAAACAGTATTTTTAAAGTCAATGAGAATTCAAATTATCGAAATAAACCAAGAGAAAGAGTTAGTGAGGGCTCCTACTGTCTTTAAAAACACTGTTTTTACGATGACGTATGAAAATCTTGAGAGAAATCACTTTATCTCGAGTTTTAAAATAGCCCTCCTGAAATTTCCGGGCAGGGAGTTATTGTTGTGGTCTCAATGTGAGCGAATACAAAGGCTATTGTGGCCTAGTCTACGAGGAGGCTGGCACACCCTATATACTTAATACAAATATTATATTTCTATTAGAGTACATTGTAATATTTCTGCTTTTTGTATTCTAATAGAAATATATTTTTGTATTAAGTATATAGTGTGCCTTTCAAAAGTAGCCTCCTCGTAGACTAGGCCACGACTCGCCTCTGAGCGAATACAATCATAGAACAGCTCTATGTCGTCTTGAGATGTTTGGCACATTGATAAAAACTGCAAATGTCAGTCGATGTTCAAAATTAAAATGCCACTTACGTGTGTTTTTAAGGCACTAATATACTTATCTATTTAAGAAAATTTCTATACATTCAAAATTTTTTAAAGACAAAGGCTTTTTATAAATAATCTGCAGCAAATTTCTAGAATTTTAGATATCAAAGAGATTATTTATCATTCTTTTAAATCTAATTTGTTGCACCAGCTTCAGCAAATTCTCTCATTTTTAATTCATCTTTACAAAACCTAATGCAGTTGCAACACTCAAAGCACAATTAATATGTCAATTTCCCAAATACCGCCCTACATATTGTTTACTATGTTGTATACTTAGTTGTGGAATGTTATTTCAGATAATGGGTCCTATGATTGAACGTTTACGTTATCTGTAACGTACATGTTAGGCCGAATTTTAAAAGTAACGAGGCAAGTTCGTATGATGGAAACCTGTTAAATTAGAACATAACAGGCAGAAAATAACAGTAATGCGTTGGAAAAAGTTTTCCATCGTACGAACTTGCCTTGTTACTGTTAAAACTCGGCCTAACATGTACGTTACGGATAACGTAAACGTTCAATCTCATTATGAATATCTGTTAGGTTGATACAAATACGTTAAACACAAGCGAACATTGTTTAACTTTTAATATGCACAATATATTTAGTTTGCAAACGACATAAAAATAGAAAAAAACGTTGATTGAAACCACGATTAGCTGTTTGAAGGATTTGTGAACACAATATGGCGGAAGTGAACTCATCTTAGGCCACGTGACAGCACCTCCCTACCTTCTACTTCCATGGAAATTAGGCATTCCAATACCTGTGAAAATGCTGAGAAGTGGGAACTGACAGTTTAGATATGGCAACCCTGTGGCCTGCTATCATTGACAGGGTACAGGGTCAATGATACATATATAGTTATCGCAACTGCTCATTAATCAGAATCAGTTTAGCAAAAATATGTTTTAAGGCCAATTTTCAGCCTTTGATTATAGTAAAAAAATAATTACCTGTATATTTACTTCAAGGCATAAGCTTATGTTTATTTTGAAAAATATGGATGGTTAATCTATATAACTATCTATATCATTGACCCTGTCAAATCACCACCCACAAGGTTGCCATATCATAACCACATCAAAACTCGACGTAGCCATTTTGTTTGAAATGCCTAATTAGGCATTCCAACGACCTGCCAAAATGTTGACAAGTGGGAATTGACAGTTTAGATATGGCAAACCTGTGGCCTGGTGTCATTGATAGGGTCAATGATACATATATAGTTGTATTCATTACTCAAAGCGGGTCGTTTTGCGAGCGGCCATATTATCCTTCAAGTGCTCATTAATTAGAATCAGTTTGGCAAAAATGTGTTTTAAAACCAATTTTCATCCTTTGAATATAGTAAACAAAATAATTTCCTACATTTTTACTTCAAGGCATAAGCTTATGTTTATTTTGAAAAACATGGATGATCAATCTATATAACTATCTATATCATTGACCCTGTTAAATCTGGCCCACAAGGTTGCCATATCATAACCTGTTAAAACCTCCAAGCAATTTCGGGTGGATGCAATATTTTTGTGGAATTATGCTAATTTACTTTTCACCCTTATTGTTGATCAAGTGTGGCGGACATTTTTGTGAAGTCATTTTATTATTTCTTTTCTTCTATTTTGCTATATTTACTAGGTCATTTAGTGATTCAAGCAAATGAATATATGACTTTTTATTGTCACCATTTGCCGTATGCCATCTGCGAGTAACGATTTTTTAATTATCTCTTATTCAGTTTGAATTTATTTTAATTTCTACTAACTAAACCGCTTTTCCAGACTAGTTATATGGAATAGTTTGTTTAATGTAGACCGAATAAACTGAGTTTTCAAAAGCGAAATTGAGAGTAGAGAAAGCAGGAATTTTGGGATATCATGATGGGAAATTTTAGATTCTACACCTCTGTAAGCGGAGTTCATAATGAAATAAATAAAAAGGGTAAGGGGTAAGGGAAAGAGTGCTTAGGGATTTTGCGATACCACTAAAGTATCGATAGTTGTATCAAAAAAAAGAATCGGAACAAAAATATCGTTACCGTTATGACAATCCATTATTTTAAAATCCTATACAAATATTTTTTTATTCAAGGATTTACAAGCCCAAGATCGTGCTCACCGTATTGGACAAAAAAATGAAGTGAGAGTGTTACGTCTAATGACAGTTAACTCTGTTGAAGAACGTATCTTAGCCGCAGCAAAATACAAACTTATTATGGACGAAAAAGTTATACAAGCTGGCATGTTCGATCAAAAATCAACTGGTAGCGAAAGACATCAGTTCTTGCAAAGTATATTACATCATGACGGCAGTGACGAGGAAGAAGAAAATGAAGTGCCAGATGACGAGACCGTGAATCAGATGTTGGCCAGAAATGAGGACGAGTTTCAACTTTTCCAGAAAATGGACGCTGATAGAAAGGAGGAAGAAGAAAAGTCGGGCAATAAAAAATCTCGCTTGATTCAAGAAAACGAACTACCTGAATGGCTTTTAAAACAAGACGATGAGGTCGATTCCTGGAGTTTTGAGGACCCTGAATCACATTTGACAAAGAGGCAAAGGAAAGAAGTGGATTATGCTGATAGTTTGACAGAAAAGGAATGGTTGAAGGTAAGATTTTTAATGAGAAATATAGGTACCTACATTTTGATAAGTATAAAGGAAAAAATAAGTATTTACATTGACAAGTCTATTAAAAAAAAATGTAGAGTGTTCCACTTCACTTTCGTTCATCAGGCCCATTGTGCATTTTCTACGAGCAAACCAACTTCTTCTTAACTCCTAAACCAGCTTTATATTTTAAAACGCTTTATAACATCGACAAAATTAGCCTGTTTTGCTGACATCAGAGAGTAATAAAACTTATATATGCAAACAACAGTACGAGTAGCTCAAGGAATGTATTATATCTATACCTTGATCTACTATGCCCCCGTTGCGATAGTTTGAATCTCACAGAAGACTATTGTGTGCACTGTACTATTAAATAATTTTTATATAAAATAAATAACTCTGTACACTTATAGTACACTCAAAGTAGTCTCAAGTTCCAGGCGGTCACTTGCAAATGGGATAGTAACTGGAAGAACCTTAACACCGGTAATCCCTACCTTACTCAACCCTAAAGGTAATTCTGGAACAGCTAGATCAAGTGTGGGGTATAGTTAAGAGAAACACAGGAAGTTTTTAAAAAGAATAATATATTTAAAACGGCAATTTCGGTGGAGAAATTTGAAACGAAAGTAATTTTTAGTCTTTATTTACAATTAATTGCGCAAAACTAAAAAAATAATAAATATGGATATTTCTAATAAGCGATAAAAACCTCCAAGTTAAATAGCAGTATAATTATTCCAATAAAAACTGTTTACAAAATTAAAGATTCGTGAAAATAAAAAATAAGTCAATGATACGGTTAGACCCACGATATTTCGAATCGGCGGTGAAAACCTCCAAGTTAATTGGCAGTATAATATTAACCTAATGCAAATGTTTACAAAATTAAAGCTTCGTGGAAGTAAATAAAAAGAAAAATAAATAAATCATTAATACAGTATTCCTAATTAGCGATAAAAACCTCCAGTTAATTAACAGTATAATCAATACAATGAAAAGTTTTACAAAATTAAAACTTCATGGAAATAAATAAAAATAAAAAAATAAATCATCAATATGGATATATCTACAGTAATTTTAATCAGCGGTGATAACCTCCAAGTTAATTAACAATACGATGAAATGGTTTCCAAAATTACCTCTGAAATAAGAAAGCTTAGTTCTGCATTTTTAAATTATTTTCGAAAAACCCTGTATACTAATATTTTGAAATAATACTTCGTGACAATAAATAAAAATAAATAAATACTACGGTTATACCTATGGTATTCCTAATAAAAGTTAACAGTATAATTAACGTAACGGAAATATTTACAAAATCCAAAGTTTGAATACAAAATTATTGTCATTCTAAAATAATCTATTTATTTCAATCAGCATTACTATCAAAAAGCAATATTTTCTTCAGCTCTGGGTTTACGACGGCCACTCACCTCGAACGGTGTTAGCCCAGGGATTATGGTCAGATTTTCTGAAAAGAATTAAACATAACAGATTCGAGTACTTTATTGCTTGGATCTTGTTTTAGAGAACATTTTCGAGTGCGGTTAATACGGCTGGTACGGTGACTGATAAGGGAGTAACGTTGTCTCGTGGTCGACGGTCTGGAGCATGGAGGTATAATACTAATGGAGATGCCATGAGGCAATTGTTTTGCATATGATACGTTTTATTAAAAATGACCCCACTGGGTGTGGCTTAAATGGTTGACTAAGCAGGGTCGTATTCAAATATAATTAAAGTCCGTATGCAGAATTACAACTTTTAAATGACTTACCTAAGATTTGTTTCAACATGATCGATTCGAAATTAATTTGATGACATTGCGCAATTATGACTTCTACACTATTTACTATTATTTATTAACCGTTTTCCGACCAAGCCAATGCCAAGACCATAAAAGAGATTACTATTATTATATTGTTCTGTCTTCGCCGAAACCGTCCGATATATGACCTGTGTGATCGAAAATCAACGTTCGAATAACACTGTGCATCAGATTTGTTAATCTCTTTTTGCTTTAAAACTAAAACCCGAACTACGATTTTTCGTTCAAGGACTCTCTTGTCTCGATCAAAGCTGCCAATGTCAAAATCTGACAATGAGGAGAATTATGACATCAAATTACCAAACCAAAAACAAACCACTACGTGAATTGTGAATAAATATATTTCAGTAAAAATACAGCCGAGTTTGTAGAAAGGATAATTAATTACTTTTAAATGTAAAACATGTAGGTCTTTCTGCTGCAGATGACATACATTACAAATATGACCCGCTACAGTCAAAAGTTTAAAAAGTCCAAAAATTCAGCTAGGTATGACTTTATGGTTAAAAGTAGATGGAAGAAAACCATGATCAAAACTACTCTGTCAAAACCAATCGGAACTAAAAAGACTCAGATAATAGTTGTTGGTTTTATTTATGTTTGAAATAATTAATTATATAGGGTAGGCACATATATTACTAAAATTGCAAGCAAGTACTTACTAAAGATTTCTATAATTGGTACCTATGTATAATAAACAACAATCTCACAGATGCACAGCATACAACTATACAAATGGAATTATAGAGATAATTTATTTTAAAAATAGGCATTCAGTTGCGATTTGTGATTACAAAAAAAAGAAAACTTTAACCACTTTTTCTGATCAGTACTGTTAGTGTTATAGTGAAAATTTGTCTAGAAACTGGTGTTTTTAATCCTAATAAAGCATTGTGAATTTCCAAGAAAAGTGCATGATGTGTTTTGCATTGTTTTGACCAAAATTTTGAATGTCATGCCATTTAAAAAGAAACCATGTGGCTGTGGATAACATTTGACACAAAATCTTATCCTAAAAATAACTGATTGGTTGCATTGGAGGAATAATTTCTTCATTGGTACTTTTTTAGGGTACAAGGATGACTTGACATTACTAAATTTAAACCTTTGTTATAAGTTGTCTTTTTGCTTTAATTTCTGATACACCTGTATTGTACATACTTGAAAAATATAAAATTGTTTAAGTGGGAAGTTTATATACAAGGTGTCTCATTGAGAAAGGGATACAGAACAACTGAAGAGTCTGATTAAAAATAAGACTATGCTTAGAATGCGAATATTCTTCATTTTAATTTTGAAGTTTCTTATAAGTTCCCAACAAAAGTACTTAAAAAACATCAAAAAATATATAATTATAGTTCAAATAAGTGTAACGTATCTTATGACACCAAAAACTTTTGCCAAATTTGGTAAAATTATAGGTAACTCTTCAGTTTTTCTGTGTCCCATTCTTAATAAGACACTACAGAAATTTTTTTATTTAAAAAAATATTTATTGACCTTTAAACAACACTATTTTGTTGTTTTGATGTCTTATGCTAGTAGCTTTATTAACTCTAGTTTTATCAACTATGCACTTAATTAATAATATTCTATGATTATCCAACACAAACTGGTCCAAACTGTGCTGCATAATATTCGAATAGACATTAGAATTTATAAATTCTTTTAAAACTAATGTGCTGATGATATCAACTGATATTTTTTTCTTAGAGTCTTTCATAATTTTTAATATTTTTTCACATTTTAAACAAATGTTTATTACATCTTCCGATGGATATTGCAAACCATTTTTATTCTTTATATCAATGAATCAAAATAGAAACAAATCTCTAGTTTTACTTATTAAAGCATCTAGACATTGTTCACAAATGATTTTCTTTTTTAAATAATAAACAACATATCCAGAAATGTAAGTGATTATATATTTAGAAAAGGAGGAGACTGGATCTGGTAAATAATCATGATCATTTTCAATAACATTCACTTTCTCAAAATCGTCAATATTATCAGACATTGCATATTCCTTTGAAGTAACATTTAACTGACTTGTTATATTGCACTTTAAAATAGTTAATTCCTTCAAAGGAATACAATTTCCAGTTTTAATATAGTTATTTGTCTTTATTATAAAGTTAGTTAAGCCAATGTTCTTTATTAAGTTAGTTATTAAAGTTTTATTGTAAATAAAGTGTATACTAACTAAACATTCATTTATTGTCGGAACAGCATTCTTCTTCAATCTGACCCTAAACTCACGCTTATCAAAAAATTCTTCCTTGAAGTGAATAGAGCATAACATGCTATTCGGTTTAGGCTCAAATTGGTCTTTTCCCACTAATTTAGACCAAATTTTGAGATATTGTAGGTCTTTTGGAAACCTATAATAAAAAAAAGTTAAGCATTCTAAAAAAAATTCTAAGTACACTCTTTATACTTACTTATGAAAATTTAAATTAGATATTTTCTTACGCTCTTTCACTGAAGAATTTTTACAATTAATTTTGGCACACTTAGTTATGATTTTTAAACAAATTAATAAAAAAAAAACACTTATTAAGATAGAAATAACGTCGAAATATTTAAATTTGAACAAAGTTCTAACAGCTCTTTGACAACTATGACATGACCACTAAGAGTGGGGGAAGGGGTGTCGTTTTTTTTTGGCATGTCATCTCCATAGTATTCAACCTCATTGGTCTGGAGAGAATTAAAGATTCACTGATTAACGGACACATCTACCACAACCCAATCATAAATATTATTTGTTTACACACCAACATTAAACGTCAGATAAGGTTGAAAATGGCGTCGTTGTTTACATTACTGATATTGCCATGGGCGTATCATTAACAGGAAAATGGTACAGTAATAAAAAAATTCTGTTAAAATTTTCATTTATATATTTATTTACACAATGATGTATTATTCAAAAGCTAAGAATAACGATATTTAAACAATTTATAAATAGTATGATGAACAATGTAACATGTTAAAAATATGTTAACATAATCTTTATATATTATAAAATGAAAAAAATAGTTTTGTACCTTAAGAAAATTAATGTTATATTTTAAATTAATTTACATATTAATTTTATCAAAAAATACAGCTACAGTCTTACACAATTTGGCAGTGGAAATGAATGAAGATGTTCCTGCAGACT